ACTCAGCATGGTTCCATTCAAGGTCGGCGACTTCATTGAGTACTCTGGTCTCAAGGTTGGTGGCAATGAAATCCTCGCTTCGTCGATCGTGTGCATCAGCTTGCACATCACGACACAAGCTAGCGAGAGTGTACCCAACTACATTCGCGTTGAGGACTTCCTCATTGGCGTTCCTGACAACTCACCGAATGTGGAGTTTGCCGATATCCGCGTGATCGGCTTCCTGTCCAGCTGCTCCGGCGCTATAGTCACTATCAGTGCTATTGACATCGACCCTTGCACAGGCAAGGAGACATATCGCACCATCGGCACAGCCACTCCAAAGCAAGAGACTCGTTGTAAATGGGAGGCTCGCATTGCTTCGCCAGCTCAAGCTCCCTTCACCCGCGAGTACCGCATTACGACCAACACACCAGTAAAGGAGACCAAGGATGGTATCAAGGCTGGTCAGTTCATTGCAGCTGTTAGCGAATGGATCTTCCCTGAGGTCGATGTGCCTGGAACCAACCCGCCAGCCTACCCATTCAACGATATCCGGGGATTGGTTCAGGGTGACTTCCTTGATGGCAAACAGTACGGACCTCTGTCACCGTTCCCAGGTCCCAGCCCGCCATCGCCATCCAAGATCTGCAGTCCCGCAGACATCCCAGACCCTAACGCAACCCCGACTCCTTCGGCTACTCCCTCAGCTATCCCTTCGCCCAACCCCAACCCAGATGAGCCAGCTACACCACAGACTGCCCCAATTGCCTCTGTGGCAAGCTTTGCGTCTGCTCTGCGCGTCGGCACTATTGTAGCACTCTTGGGTTCCAACACCGCCGAGGGCCTCAAAGACACTGATCTGAACTTCAGCTGGACCAAGACCGCACCTTCCTCGGCGACCGTTAGCATCACCAACGCCAACAGCCCCAGCGCCACATTCCTCGCACCTAAAGTAACGACCGAGACATCCTTTACCTTTGAACTCACCGTCACCTCCAAGACCGACGCCACAAAGACCAGCAAGGCAACCGTCACTGTCAAGATAAACCCCACTTTGGCCGACACCGTCACCCTGGACACGTACACCTGGGAGTCGAAGCAATCCGGCAGCATCACTGCGACATGTACCTCCAATGTGAAGAACGGAGATAACAAGGTCATGACGCTGCTTCTCAACGGCACCATAAAGCGGACTATGGTAGCGGTGAACGGAAGTCCAGGTAAATGGACATATAGTGCTAGGGATACGGCGAGGCCGAACAACTTGAAGTGTGTGAGTGATTTGAAGGGAGAGAGTGCGGTGAGGCAGGGTACTGTGACGACGAGAAGAAGGAGAGCTGTTGTTTGGTAGATGATTATTGATGTATGTAATGATTGATGAATGATTGATTAGTACGCGAACATTTGTTCTTTTGCCCCCTGCATAGCTGACTGTGAAGGCTGGATCGCTGTTCAGCTTTCAGTAGCGGGCTGAGGCTGATTTTTCCCCTCTTATATGTCTTGCCAATCACGTCTTGCAGTTTCCGCCACCAAAGCTGAAACCCAGACCCTTCTATGGACTCTGTACTCCGCATGCTTAAGAGGTCAGCATGCCCCACTGGTGGTTCCGCAATATTGTACTTTGCTCCTCTGCTTCGTATCTTAATCTTCTTAGCTATGGACTGCAAAAGTGAGAACATCGGGAATTCCATCCCTGATATCGCTGGTGTTGGGGTGAGTTCAACTGTGACGCTCATAGATCTTATCTATGCTTACTCTTTCCAAGATCATTTTAGCCTTTGCCATTCTGGCAGGTCTGTCTTTGGTAATTGCAGGTATTGGCTACTGCGCAATTTTGCATGCAAGATGGAAGCGATTTGATGCCTCGGGCAATCTGATAGATGAGAACAGTCCGGAAATGAAACGAACTCAGTTCTTCCGTTCACAGAGACTCGAACTTACGGAAAAGGTTCTTCGATCAATCAGCGAAGTCCAGATTTTCAACGGTAATACATTTCCGTCGCTGCTGATGCACTTACGCAATTGCTAATCTAAATAGGCATCGCGCTCCTCATCGCTGCCATGGTTCAACGAAACAGCCTGAGCCTTTATCATCTACATGTGGTTTATGATACTGTTAACTTTACCGCGTAAGTAGCCAGTGCAACATGTTAGGCTATTCAGGCTAAACATTGGCAGCGTCTCATTCACGGCCTCGATTTTTGTTGTCTGGCTTTCTCGAAAGATACGAAAGCCGAAAGGCGAAGATCTGCATCCGAACAATACCCGGCGAGAACCTCTACAGGTACGACGGTTACCATGGAAGAAGTTTCTTTTATCCACCTCGCTGTGGATAACGGTATTCTGTATACTCTACTTTGCTTATGCGGTGCTTTTCGGTATAGCCTTAGGGAAGTGGAACGTCGATAAATTTGGCTATTGCTACCGCGATCGGGGTATCACAAGTCCAGACCAACAACACCCTGAGGCCGACCATATATACCTTAGTATCACCTGCTTGAACATGTTCAGCTTACTGTATGGAAGCTTCATCGAATCGGAAAAACCCCCGGTATTGGTCGACACATTCTTGCCTGACTCCATTCGACAGATATACGACAAATACGTTGACGCCATGGCTTCGTGCGAGAAGAAAGTCAATAGTGCGATCGGAGCCCTTTTCACCAAGTGCATCAGCCTCTTCCCAACTCCGATAAGAGCCAAGATCACGGATCTATCATCAAGACTACCCCTGCCCCCAATCTTCAATCTCCGAAACCCATCGACGGAACTAGGACTGGTGATTGTTCCTGTCGCTCAATTTCTGCTTTATTTGTATATGGTATGGGCCATTCGGTCCGCAAATCGCATGCATCTCCAGGGCGAATCCGAAGACACGTGGGGATTTGGCCAGGTCGTAGCGCTCATCCAAATTCTCCCAATACTGAAGGGCTGTGCGAAGGACTGCATGGGTAAGACTGCCCCGAGGAGCTTGTACATTTGCTGATACAGATAGAGTATCGAAAAGAAACAGCGAAATGGCTGAATGAGAACCCCGAACGCGGACGTACCCAGATGCCAGCATTAGGTACGAGCCCTTGACATGGGAATATTCTTCTCATGAAAAAGTTGCCATAGGAGGAAGTGACCTTGAGAGAAGTGAATAACAATGCCGGGACCCAAGTAGGAGATATGCTAGAAGACTACTGTTGTGTCTCGAACGGAGACAATGCCGAAATGATGTAGAGAGGAGATTAAGGGGTGGATGGAAACTTCGATAGCGTACATCTAGCCTCAACTGCGAACCGTGAAAGTGTTGCTGTCTTCAACACTTTACGCCGAGATGCCTTTTCTGGCAGCACTGTTTATAGCCATGTGGAAATTGGGTGCTCTAGAGGAGTCATAGCTGCTGGCACCGCCGCTCATAGTCATCCAGGGAATCGTGACTGCAATCAACGCTTCCCAACATTTTGCCTGACCTGGCGATGTGACCCACGGGTAACGGACGGGAAGAAGACGCCTCGAAACGAACTCAACCGTGGATCGTATACAGCTTTCGACAGAATGCGAAAGTATTGCCTTTTGCGGGTATCTCAGGGGCTGGCGGGACGATCCAGGGTATTATTGCGGAAGCTTGTCTGGTGTGGATGTCTTAGCGTGAACAACAAGACATGTCAACACCTCACGCCGTCTATTCACTCACCCACGATATGGCGACTGCAATCAATGGATACTGTGGAATCTGCTCATTGTGGTAGTATCGTGAAGTACCGTTCCATGGGAGGCAGGTCGGCGACATGACTGCGAGATGCGTCATGCCGCTGTCGTACCGTGGAATTGTTGACATCGAGGCTGCAATGGCTCGTCTCTACACCCAGGTTTCGCAGCAGTAATCAATGTTTTCTTCAAAACTTGCTCTATACGGCGTGGTCGTGCATGCGCGACTGAAAACTCTTTAAGTTGAGTCAGGCGTTAACGGGCGAAGTATGTCTTTGTATCGTGGTGCCGCGGATGGTAGAGGGCGATGGATGGCATCGGTCCTTTTAGCGACCGCGAAAAGTCCGCCGCAATCCATAGTTTTTCATCTAAACTGCCTTGTCAGGAAGTCGCCACGACGAATGGTGTGTAGTACAGAGACGGTATAGGAGTAGGTGGAGCGGCCCAGGTGTCGAAGGATGCGGATTGCCACTGTGGCGGCCGTCATGCGTGGCTCACAAGGCACCGGAACGCCAAACCGTCCTCTGTAATTTCCATGGATTTCTGCTATGATCGACGGATAATCTCAGAACCTGCTCAATTGGGAGACATGAAGTGGAATCTTTCTGGTATACGGTACATCAGCTTAGTGAGTCGGTGGCCTTACGACACCAACGCTTGTGAGGTCAGACGTGAGAAGGGCTTGTCGCGTGGAGAATTGACCGCGGATGCATTGCCGGACGGTGAAAACGTTGCCGTACAAAAACAAACCATACATCTAGTCGAGATGTCCGTTGACACGGGCTGCCGTGACCTCTGCGTGGTGTGATTTTGAGTTTGGCGTGTTCAGGTACGATGCCTTCCAGCTCTTCCGGGTGGACTGAGGACGCTGACGATAGCGTGTAGGTAACGGGGCTAGGGGGATCCGCCGCACCACGCCCTGTGGGACTGCGACGGCGAAGGGATCCAGTGTGGGCCTCGGATGTGATCGTGATAACAGTGCGATCGTGTCTGTGGCCGCGATTAAGAGTATTTTGCTGTGGACCTATTTCGGAAATGCTTGCGGGTGCGGGATCGGCCATGTCGAGCTCGCAAGACCATACAAAAAGCGATAACGAGCGTACTGCGTATTCGGACCGGAGTGAGGCAGGCCCGAGAATAGACAGGCAGCAGGCGTTCCAAGGTTCTCTCGTGGCAAGTGTGGCGTTTCGAGAGCATGACCAGAACTGAGCCACAGAAACGTGGTCAAGAGAAGCACAGTGCGAGCAGCGCCTGAGGGCCTCTGCGCGTCCTGAGACGACGCCTCTCCTCTCCCACACCTCCCTAATGAGCACCATGACCCAATGAGTCTCTTCTCGTCCTTTATTATCGAGCCCGTTGTGCGCCATGCACGCCGCTTCTCAGGCGTTGGCGAGGCGAGCCATGACGGAGCTCGGTCTCTGGCATGTGACAATCACGACTCTGCGTCTGCGGCAGTGCCACGGCGGGAGCACGCAACGGACGCGGGCTCCGTGAGCGCACGTGAAAGAAACAGCACCGAAGCACATCACGGGCGGCCCACAGCGCTGGGCGACGGGTTCCGACGTTACTCGTCGTTCTCGCAGCGGCCTCGCAGCGCGGTTGTTGACGAGGAGCAGAGCCATGACGATCTGCCAATAGACACCCCAGTCGACATGTCCGCGAATCCATCCCGCACCCTCGCTGATCAGTTCCGTCACCTCGAGGTCGACTCGGCACGCTCGACTGCGCCGTCGCCCTCGTCGCTCCGTCCCGCCAGCACCCCCAGCCAGCATGCCAGCGCCATGGCTGAGCTGCTCCCCGCTGACGATGGCATGGCCCATCTCCGCGAGCGCATCCACGAGATCCGCGCCCTGAGCATATCCGACCAGGAGCGCGCCCGCATGATTCACAACCTCATGACGGAGAAGTACAACCACATGCGCCCGACGTCCCCCGCGAGCTTCATCTCACACGACCGCCCCTTTACCCCGACCTCCGGCCAGTCCCTCTTCTCCGACGTCCATGCGTCATCGCCCTACTCGTCCACCACCGACGTGACCCCCGACATCTCGTACAATCTGCGCGAGGGCGACACGAACCCCACGTATCGGCCCCATCACGACCACGGCGCAGAGCACGGCGAAGACGACGAGGAGGACAGCGCCGAAGGGGAGCTTGTGCTCGGCTGCCAGCATTACAAGCGCAACGTCAAAGTGCAATGCTTCGAATGCCGCCGCTGGTACACGTGCCGACACTGCCACGATGCAGTCGAGGACCACAACCTGAACAGGAAGCTGACACAGAACATGCTGTGTATGGCATGCGGTACGCCCCAACCAGCAGCCGAGGTGTGCAAGAACTGTGAGACGGAAGCCGCATGCTACTATTGTGACATATGCAAGCTCTGGGATAACAACAGCAAGAAGAAGATCTACCACTGCCCAGACTGTGGTATCTGCCGGCGAGGAGAAGGTCTGGGCAAAGACTTCTATCACTGCAAGGTACGTCCTGCTTTAGACGCACTTTGGACTAGACTGATTGTGTGCAGAGTTGCAATGTTTGCATATCTATCTCTCACGCGACCTCGCACAAGTGCCTCCCGCGTGCCACCGAGGGCGACTGTCCAATCTGTGGCGACCATCTCTTCACTTCGTCTACTGCTGTCGTGTCAATGCCTTGCGGCCACTATCTTCACAAAGGGTGCTACAACCTCTACATGCAGACTGCGTACAAATGCCCAATTTGCAAAAAGAGTGCTGTGTGTATGGATCTGCAGTGGCAGAAGTTGACTCAAGCAATTGAGGGTCAGCCCATGCCAGAGCAGTTCGCAAACACGCGGGCAGTTGTCCAGTGCAACGACTGTTCAGCAAAATCTTCTGTCAAATATCACTGGCTTGGCAACCAATGCGGTACATGCGACTCTTACAACACCAACGAGCTCCGCATTCTGAACGGGCCAGAGAGTGAAGAAGCTGCCAATGCGATACTAGACGCCGACCTTGATTCAGGCTCGAGATCGCCTGTGAGCGTCAGCTCGCCCTCCTCCCAAGCACCACTTCGTTCGCCTCGGTACTATTTCCAACCAGATGAGCCTGAAGAGACATGGCTACCAGGTCAGCTGCCCTCTTTCCCTTTCCAGATGCCGCAGTTTCCTGGCAGACCGCGCATGCCGCAGATGCCTCAGATGCCACAATTTCCATCTCTACCGCAGTTCCCACCGCTGCCAAACTTCCCGCAGATACCGCAATTTCCACAAATGCCTCAGATGCCTCAAATGCCTGATGCTGCACAGCAAATGCTTGAACGCGTGCGCCAATCCTTCGATGCTTATCTCAACCCGACGGGAGATATTCGAGCTGAAGATGTGCCCTTCATCGATCTCAGCAACGACGACCGCGCCGAACGTCCCGCGACAGATGGTACCACGGTTAAGGAACCGTCACTCCCGCAGTACGTTCTGGAGCGGTTCACGCAGTCGCTCGTGCGCTTCAGGAACGATTTGAATCCGGCTTTGTTCGAAGATATCCCGACATTAGATCTCTCGCAAGATCGTGATCCCGAAGGGTTGCAGTTCTGGGGTGAAGATGGTGGGCGGCTGAATCGCTTCGTTGCCGGCGATGAAGACGATGAGGACGACGAAGACGAGGAGAGTAGCAGCGATGAAAGCGAACATCATGAAGATGAAGACGACGATGAGGATGATCTTGATGTTACCAAAAAACGTGGTAAGGAATTCGACCTGCCAGGTCATGTGTAAGGAGTTTGCGGAGCGGGCGTTCTGGGAAGGCAAAAGGATGTTCTACGAATATTGCTTTGGTGCGGGCCTGGAAAACAACCTAAAAATTCACTAAAAGCCATTTTATAAAGCAACAGATACCCAAATAGAAACACTTTGTTATTGAGCCAAACGCATCATGGTGTTCCAGTTGCTCCGGTGCTTGCACACGCCTCGACTCACGTGCGCCATGGTCCGTGCCCGACGCGCTAAGTAAGCGGGCACACTGGCGGCATCCGATTTTCGAATATCGTGACTTTTCGACCTTCAAGCCTCAAACTCGCATCCTCATCGTCGACTAACCCCCGCAGCGAGAACCTCTGTCAGTATGTATTGCGCTCCCAGTCTGTGTTTAGATCAGTCGATTTGCGCAATAGTCGCGAATCGCAATCCCAGCTGATTGCTGTAATGAGCATTTGCTAACACATTCTCCCTCCAGAAATGGCCCCAACCACCAAGTCCGCCGGCAAGAAGTCTGCCGGAAAGACCGGCCGCAGCGCCATCGCCGATGTCGTCGCCCGCGAATACACCATCCACCTCCACAAGCGCGTATGTTGATTCAGTTTTGTGAAGTCCACAGATGGTCTCGCGGAACCTTGGGTGGGTGCTCGACCAGGCCGATCACACTGGCTTGAACACCTACCTTTGGTCACGCAGGCATTGGGCGGAAGACTGAAGAGAACATAAGGCTAATACATTGGGTATAGGTTCACGGCGTCAGCTTCAAGAAGAGGGCCCCCAAGGCTGTCAAGGAGATCCGCGCTTTCGCTAAGCAGGCTATGGTATGTGCTATGGAAGAATCACCGGCCCATGGCACGCGCGCTACGTGCGCGTGCTGTCATGGTGCCGCCATTCGTACAAACTCAGGCTAATTGTCTCGATGTAGGGCACCAACGACGTCCGCCTAGACCCCCAGCTCAACAAGAAGGTCTGGGAGTCCGGTATCAAGGGCGTTCCCTTCCGTCTCCGTGTCCGCATCTCCCGTAAGCGTAACGACGAGGAGGGCGCCAAGGAGAAGCTCTACTCCTACGTGCAGGCCGTCAACGTCAAGGACCCCAAGGGTCTCCACACCCAGATTGTTGAGGATGCTTAGAGGAATCCCGCGAATAAGGGGGAAGGATGATGTGCATATCAAAAGCATGGCGTTCCGGCGGGTTGTGCTGAGTAGCTACTATGGATATCTAGAGCGAAAGGCTGGTGAAATGATACCTCAATGACAGATCATGCCCCGCCACGTTTGATGGACTTGGAGACTTGAACCACTTTATTTACCCTGTTGCCAAAATGAGTGATTCATCCGATATGAAATGCTTGCGATGAACAAAGTCTTACCATAGCCGACAGCAACGCAGACATTGCCTAGATGCTCCCCACTTGCTCACTACTGCGCACAGGAGTTAAGCTTGATAGTATAGTAGTGAGCTGCCACATGCAGGCCATGTTCGGCTTCTCGCGCTTTCCCAGAAAGTACCTTGCATAAGCGGCTGTACGTAGCTCGGCCCTGGGGGGAGCCGAACATTAGGTGCTTACCAAAGCCTTGGATACTGCTCGGCACGTCAGTTGCTCCAATAAGTCCTTAGCAGAGAATATAGATAAAGCATATAGAGCGACTTCCAACATGCAATTTGTATATTCTCGACCTTCATCAATCATCCCCGGTTGACGTCAGACACTCGTCTTACCCCCCGCCTGTAACACGCGAACCACCAACTTCCACATCTCAACTATCGCACCACATAACCATATCCCGTCCTGAAGAACAAACGCAAAAATGGTGAACTTCAACATAGCCTACACCTCCCGCGTCAATCCCGCCGGCGCAACCCCGGTACTCAACCAAGCACAGATCTGGGCCGGCCTACAGCGCAAGATACGTTTCGCCCAAGAATTCGTCCCCGTAATTGAGAGCTGCGACGTACTCGAAGAAAAAGATGGTGTCGTAACCCGAGATGTCAAGTTCAAGAAGGGAATGGGGCCCAAGGACCAGGCCAAGGAAGTTGTCAGGAGCTACTGGCCGAGTTGGGTAAGTAATGATTGCTTGGAGAGTCGAGATTCTGGCTGATGATGTTTGAAGGTCGATTTTGAGCAGGAGGACGGGACGCACATCCGCAACATCGTCTCTGATGGCCCGTCTGGCGAGATCGAGGACTTGAACATGACGTACATGTTTGAGTTTGTTGTGCCGCATGTGCAGGAGGGGACTCCAGAGGCGGAGAAGGAGATTCAGAAGTTTAAGGGTGTAAGTAGTTTTTCTTCCGTTGAGACTGCGCGTATGAGATGTGCATGTGTTGTATCAGTTGCTAACGAAGGGACAGATGGCAAAGAAAGCGGTCGAGAGCAGTATTGATGCTATTCGGGAGATGGTAAAGGATGGGAGGATCAAGGAGTAAAGCCGCTTGTGAGCTCATGGAGAGGCTGTATCTCTATCAGGGCAATCAGATGATTCCGCATACTCAAGAACCATCTTCGACTACGACTAGCTAGCAAGCGATAGTGTTGTGCAAAAGCGGCGTCCACTGCATCGTGCGATCCCCATATATACGAAGAAACAACAAATCTCTCTGTCCAATTGTTCTGCTTTAGAGCCTTCGTAACCATGTCTCTGTTGCTCTCGGTGCGAAATAACTGAGCCAGTTGCGCAATACCTGGTAACATGCGTTTTTCGACAAACTCATCTAACAGGCCCTCCTGTTCACATAGCGCCATCATCAGCAGGTTATATATGAACCTGGAAGACAACGAGATACTGTATGTTTCCGCTGTCTTTCTCAACCCAGCATCGCCGATGATCGGTCGAGTAGTCCTAGAACCGTGAAGTGACTGATCTATATCGCGACCAGTATTGAGGTAATCGAGACCTCTCATGAGGATACGTCGCATTTCGCTGAGAACGTGGATGTCTGAAGTTTTGTCACACGCTCGGCAGGTACACTCAAAGCGTAGTATGCGGTGACGGTCGTCCCTAGTTCTGTAATCAAAGTCTGATTCGTAACAAAAGACTATCTCGGCGCCGGCTTCGATGTCACGGGTGGCGTAGCTGATTATGGAGTCGTCAGGTTGAACGTCATCCGGGATCTTGCAGTTGGGAAGGCAAGAATGGTTGAATCGGGAATGCAGTAAGAAGAAGCCATGCGCCATGCCAGGCTGTGCGGGGATAGTGAACGAGTTTTCTGCGAAAGCTCTCTCCATGGTTGGAAAGATGCCGTCACCATTGTCTCGAACAGTGAGGAACTGGGCTTTCTCCTTCTTCGATAATGCGCAGTAGGCGGCAAACACATCTCTTTCCTCGATCATCCAATGGGGCTTCCGGATGACGAAGAGAGGCTTTTCTTGTAGGATCTTTACTCCTTTGAGGATCTTTCGCGTGGCAAATACACCCCATCCTTTTCCAGGTGAGACACCAAGTCTGAAAGGAGTATCGCTGGGAACTTGGATGCTGTGGTAGGCTGCCCAGGTGATGCTGAGGTTAGGCTATGCTCAGAGACGCGAATTCGGTTCGACTTACGGTGGTCAGCAATATTTTGGTGTGAATCCATGGCTCTCGATCATTCCTCAGCTCTGCATTGCCGGAAAATGTGAATTACAGTTTGAAGAAGTAGCCGGATAAAACCTGTCAATGATATGCTGTGCCACAAGCGAATCTGCTGCGCAACGATTGGCAGCTTTGTAACGAACAGGCGGCAAGGCACGCATCATGCAAGGAGCCCCTTGATTGATCACTCCATTGTCTCTGGCTTAATATTGAATTCTGATGTATTTCGTACAGGCCTCTTAACATCTTGCGTCGACGTAAGGTTGCATCTGGCGCAGATGCAAGCCATCAGATGTCTCGCATATATCCGACGGGCTGCGTGGTCAGGCGTCCAGCTGTGACCAAGCTGTCCATTAGTCTGATTAAGACCACCATCGGCCACTTGGTCGCTCGATCGAATCATGACAGACGTGTGTCTTGACGATAATGAGAATGCCAAGCTGTGTGAAGCCGTATAGCATCTTTAGACACTGCTTTGTTCGGGTGTACATGGTGCCGTGATCGCAGAGTGGGTAGTCTTGGTCGCCATGGTGAAATTCTCAGTGAGCCGGATATACAAGTCAAATATAGTGACCGTGCCAAGATAGCTGCATGAAGGCATCGGCATGCATCGACAATCCGGCGGAAGTGGTGATGGGAGGAGGAAGGATGCAGGGTATCAGTCGATCGCGTGTGGAGCCCTAAGCACTAGTGCTTGCCTCTCGGCACGGGTAGTTCCAGTTGACAAACGCGACTTCACCGCGAAACCCGTGCCTCTGCAACAACGTCAGCGCCTCCCACCCCCACCACTGCGAGCAGCCAGGAAGACGGACCCGATTCAGGTCTAGCAACGCCCGACTACCAGTAGCCTCAGCAGCAGCTCGGCAAGCGTGCCCGCACAATCTCTCCGCCGCCCAAGTGCCCCACCTTTGTCTGTACACAACTTCTGCAAGGCAGCGAACCTTTGCGCGCCCGCCCTCCGCCCACGCCCCACGCGCCCATACGCAACCGCTGCAAGAAGCTGAGCCCACGCTTGAGCTTCTTGGGGACATAGACGATATCACAAGGCTGATTGGGAGCTTTTCCCGCCGCGCTGCAGCCCGCCATGTCTCTGTCAATTGAAGAGCTCGACGCCACAGTGCGCGCCTTCTACGAGGGCCGCGGTGAGCAAGTACGTATCTATGCGACCCGACCAAGGCGTCTCATGAGACCACGGCTAACATGTCGCCCACTGTAGCAAAAGCAAGCTCAGGCTACGCTGAACCAGGTAGGCCTCTGCACTCACCATCGCTGTCGGCTTGTCCGCTAACTCTCGCATAGTTCAAAGAGAACCCAGACGCATGGCTTCTTGTTGACAAGATCCTATCCGATGCGCAGTACCCGCAGACGAAGTGTGAGTGCAGCGACGTGCTACAAGGCTGGTGGTGCTCGTTGCTAACAGTCGGCAGATCTCGGACTCCAAGTTCTCGAC